CAATGCATATTACAGACACACAGTTAATATTTGCTGAACAAACATCACTGGACTCATGAGTTTTTCTTAAAGCCATTATCTCATCTGCCTATATTACAGTTAGGACTGCCTGCTACTTCCCCATACTAAACCTCAGTTTTCACGAGGGCAGGAGACAATCATCTGCACATCTTTTTAGCCCTCAAATATTCATCAATCCTTGGCAAAAAAAATAAACATTAATGCACATTTACCTGAATAAGTGATCAGAACCAAGACTTCAGTCATTTTTGTCTTATTTTGAAAGAATGGGTTTCTGTATCTTTTGACATTTTTTCAACCTATTTTTTCTACCTACCTTATAAAACCAAGCCATTGAACCCAACACAAATCTCATATTCCACCTCAGTATATTACCTTAAAACCTCCTAGTCTTGACTTCGTGGGTTTTTTTTTTTTACTCCATAGTTTCATCAATTTCTTAAAATCAGTTTTTATTTATTGAAGAGATGAGTAGCAAGTGGCCATATGTGGTTGTAAAAAACTCTCAGTTGAATTGTTTATGCCACTTTTCATGCTCTATTATGACAGAATAGAGAATGGAAGGGAGTGTAAAAGAATCTGTCATGATATACTAAACAACTCCATTCTCTAGCGTGTATTCCATTGTGTTGTAATTGTTTGTGTAAGTCTTCATAAACCCTGATCCTTGCAGGGGCCATGTGCCCTTGATCGTTTCTTCAATCCCTATTGGAATAGCTGACATATAATAGGCATTCATTGAAAATGTCCTGAATGATGAAGTACAGAAATGAAACAAGTCATAGATTGGTCCTTTAGAGCTGTCAATATTATACAGCTTAAACTTTTGTTTAATCCAGCCCAAATAGCAGGAGTGGCAGGGGCTGACATGAAATTCAAACTTTTAGAACTCCCATGAGTGTCTTTAACCTTGTGGTGTCTGAACTGCCCTTTCTAAGCACAGTGTTTTCCCTCTTTCTTTTCCGCAGGTTGGACTCAGATCTGTGATAGAGCAATTTCCTGGGAAGCTTGATTTTGTCCTTTTGGATGGGGGTTTTGTCCTAAGCCATGGCCACAAGCAGTTGATGTGCTTGGCCAGGTCTGTTCTCAGTAAGGCGAAGATCTTGCTGCTGGATGAACCCAGTGCTCATCTGGATCCAATGTGAGTTTCAGAATTCCTGCTATTTGGTCATACAGCGGCAGAGGCCTGCTGCATATTGACACAAATTCCCATGGCCTAGTGGAAAAGTCACCACTGGATATGCATACAAGTGCTTATTTCCTGGTATAAGAGCCTGTGTTCTCTTCTCACTGTGATTTTGGAATTCTCCCCCTTGTCAACACATGAAATATTTAGTTACACAGGCAAATTCTGATTCTTATGATATTTCTTTCTATTCCATTTATATGGTAGCACAAAAGAACTACTAGTGATTCTACATAATGAAAAAAATGTACTTTTGTGAAATGTCCTTCAAAATATTTGTCCTATTTATTGATGGAAACTTAAAATCTACCCTTTGGTTGCAAAGCTGATTGTGGCTGACTATATCACAATTATGTTAAAAGTATTTAAGGAAAGATAACTTAAAGGACTCAGTTGCTAGGACAATAGGTATGTTATCAAGAATAAAGGCAGATTATTGATGTTCTGTGTGGTATTTTCTTTCTTTTCTAGAACATATCAAATCATTCGAAGAACCCTAAAACAAGCATTTGCTAATTGCACAGTGATCCTCTGTGAACACAGGATAGAAGCAATGTTGGAATGTCAACGATTTTTGGTGAGTGTTTATAATTTACTTACGATCTCATTTCTCCTTTTATTCTTGATAACAATCTCTTAAGTGATAGTTTCTGCAAATCCCAGGTATGTACAAGTTCAACCTTAAAACATGTGTCATACAGCCATTTAGCTTGACTCAAAATAGCTGCACAAGTTTCTCGCTTTGATCTGAGTTATGAGGTAAGGTTGGAATGCAGTAAGTCTAAAAGAGCAGCATATTACTAAGTGACATTAATGAACTGGAACATCTACACTTTTGAGGCCTTTATTTGGGGAAGAAGTCAGAAGAAAGACTTAAGTCCTGATGCTTTTAATAACTAAATCTTCCTTGGGTAGGTAGGGTCCAGGACAGGCCTGGATTCTCTTGCATCTCATGTAGAGTTTCAGTATGATAGTTGAAAGGCTCACTTAATTTTTAAAGTCATTATTTGGGACTCGGGTGAATGTCTCTCCCAATCACCTTCTCATTGTGCTTTCAAAGCTGTCACAGATTCTTTCAAGTGACGTTTACAAATTCCCTCAGGTTTAGTCACAAGGAAGTTCTCAGGATGATGCACCACATTATTCTATTCAGACTTTTGGGGTTCCTGGAGGTAAATGCTTTCCTTACTGAAGGACTGTTATTATCATTTATTATTACTAAGCTCCAGGTAACAAATTAGGGGCTGACTCACAACCTCTTGCCCTGCCATGGTCAGGCTCAGGAGGCTGGATAAAGCCTTCCTATTCTCTGACCTTGGGTTTGCTCAACTTGAACATGTGAAGGAGGCATATTAAACTCAGGCACATTCTGACCGATATGGAATTTTTAACCTTCAAACCCACTGTTGATGAGGTTCAACTACAATGCTGTGGATTCTCACTCATTTTTAAGGTCCTATAGTGTGCCGCGCCAGCACAGCCCAGGGTGAACCTGAGTGGGGGCGGCTGAAAGGCTTATAAAAGGCAGACAAGAGAATGAAAGCTGGGGCTCTGTGGGACGCTGTTTCTCCGAGAGACAACGACGATGCCCACAAGGTGTGTCTTTATTTTGTAGCAGATGCCACGAGGCAAAGTAAGGGCGTGATCAAGATGTTTACAATATTCTAATGAGTTTCTATCCTACTCAATTACATGCACCTGAACTCTATCAAGTCCACATCACTCAGACACGTGGGGCCACATGTTTGGACCATAGGTTCAAGCTTACAACTATAGCTATTGGCTATCATTGTGCTGGGAAGGTTCTGCTCTCCAAGCTGGGACTTGCACATGGCAGTGAGTGGACTGTGCCCTCTCATCAGTCTAGGGCTTGAACCTGTCCAAAACACTGTCGCCGCTCTCCACGCTATAGAAGGGATCTAACAAAAATCATTCTGGTTTTGAAAGCACCCTTAATTCCTCTAAAGCTCTTTGAAGAGATAATTGTTCAGTACAATGCTAATTTTAAAAAAAAATCTTCCAGCTGCTAAATAGAAAGTTACAGAGAGTTTCACAGATGGAGAAGCTCCATAAAGCAAGAGGGTGAAGGATTTGGCAGTGAAATGAGATCTCCCTGATGGTTCAGACTGCCAGCCTCTGGACACTGTTTTCCATTGGGCTTTTATCTTCCTCTGAGCCTAGGACAGCTTCTGTCCTTGCTCTGCCCGCCCTGCCTTCTGTCCAGTATCTCACTAACAGCCACTTCCCCAGGTCATAGAGGAGAACCAAGTGCGGCAGTACGACTCCATCCAAAGACTGCTGAGCGAGAAGAGCCTCTTCCATCAGGCCATAAGCTCCTCGGACCGCCTGAAGCTCCTCCCCCATCGGAACTCCAGCAAGCACAAGCCCCAATCCAAAATCACTGCTCTGCAGGAGGAGACCGAAGAAGAGGTGCAAGAAACCAGGCTGTAGGAAGCAGTACCCGTGTTTGCATGGAGCGCTCACACCTGGACATGTAGGAGAAAACAGTTTATGCCCCAGGAAAAAGGATGAGTAATGCTATTTTTTAAAAGGAGATGTTTCAGTAAGAGGAATTAAGGACGTTCACTTAGGTCTGGATAAGTGGCTTCCCGGCAATGGTCCAATTGTGTGACAGGTACTTCACATCCTTGAAGATTTACCACTTACGTTTGCAGCCAGATTTTCCTGAAAACCTTTTCCTTTCGTTAGTCATTGGAAAGGTGGCTGTACATGTCAGCCAGCTTAATTGTTCCACTTACTGTTCAGTGAAATTTATTGATTTGTATTATTGGAGAACTGTAATCATACTATTTAGATGCAGTGGTTCTCAACCTTCTGGCCCTTTAAATATAGTTCCTCATGTTGTGACCCAACCATAAAATTATTTTCATTGCTACTTCATAACTGTAATGTTGCTACTGTTATGAATTATAATGTAAATATCTGATATGCAGGATGGTCTTAGGCAACCTCTGTGAAAGGGTCGTTTGACCGCCGAAGGGGTCGCGACCCACAAGTTGAGAACCGCTGATAGAGAGATGATTAACTTAAAACTTTAGTGGCTTATATTTCTTTTTCTGTAATATCTCCAAGATGTTTAAAAACACAACTATATGTCTGATCAGTATTCAGACTGTCCTATTTCTAAGCGAGTATTAGAATACTGTGAGAGTCACAAGACAGCCTGTCAACATATGTACTGTGCAGTACCTAGGTATCAGTCAGGAGAGAGAACTTCTGGAATCCTTTAAATCAGGGTCAGTACTATTCTTCTACCAAACATTCAAACAATTCAGATAATAAGAATACATCCCTTACCTGGGAAAAGGCTGTTACAGTTCCAAGTAGGGGACAGGATAGCTCTCTTCATGTGGAAGTTGACATGCCTTTCCACAGCTCTCAGAAAGTAACAAGCCGGTAAGACCTCTGACCTGAATGATGGCTGGAAAAAGGTTTTAATATAAATTGGTGAGAAAAACACAGGCAGCTAAGCCATGGGGGCTGCAGGTATATTTACCAGAAATCTGAAAATCTGGGTATACATGGGGTGATTTCATGTGTTTTCAGACTACTCTATGCACATCATACTGTATATACTGAGTGGGAGAAATAGTGGGAGACACACTAAAGAAGAATCAATCATGAATTAGTTCTATATGCTTCTGTTTTATAATTTTGTGATGCAAAAGAAATTTTCTCTAGGAAATAGTATTTATTTTAATAATGTTTCAAACTCATATATAAATGACTATATTTTAAGAATGATTATATTATGAATTACATTTGTATAAAAATTATATTTGAAATTTTGACTTGTAATGGCACTAGCTATTTTTATGATATATTATGTTAAACCTGGCGGGGGGTAGGGGAAGGGTAATGTTGACCAGGGGCTATAAATTACCTTGAAGGTGTGGAGAGAAGCATCAGGGCTCACACAGATGTTGCACACACCTGGGTAATTTCCAGACAACATACAGGTTTCCTCTTAGGTGCAGCTCTAAAGAAAATAGTACCATGAAATCTGACTACTCCTATCAAGGACACACTACTTCCAACTCCAAACTAAAGATTCCATTCTATTTTTTACTGTAAGAATATATCATTTGTCAATAAAATTCACATATTTGTGGGAAACTTATCTGTTTTCAGAATGTTCATTGATTGCGTGTCATTGATCTCTGACTTCAGTCTCTAAGGATCCTGGAACACAAACCATGAAACTTCCTGTAGATATAGCTTCTGATAAGTTTCTTATCTCCATTTCATTTATCTCTTCTTCTGGATAATTCTCTTGTTCTTTCATTTGGAGCTTGTTTCTTTGTCTCCCCATTTTGGCTGCCTGTTTGTGTTTGTGTATTAGGTAGATCTGCTAAGACTCCCAATCTCTAGTGCCGGATAATGTCAGACACTGTTTGTGACTGGCCCTGGGTACCTGTTGGGAGCTATCAGCAATGCACAGCTGTGGCTCCCTCTGCTGGGGCTGGGTGCCTTTGGAAAGGACCAAGATGTGCACCAGGGTCTGCTTTTCCTTGCTCCAAGCCCAAAAGGAGATCAGGCAAAACTCAAAGCCTCTAGAGATCCGCCTCTGCCCAATATTGTTTGGGCACCTTTCTCAATTCCTGTACTCTGGGCTTGGGAGCCCAACTTGGGGATTAGACCCCAGAGTTCTCAGTGGGAACCCCCTGCAGTCAAGGAACTTCTTTGAAAGTCCTTTCAGAACTTCAGCTGCTGTCTATGGGAGCCTGGCCAACCCTTTCTCACCTCCACACTTCCTACCAGTCTCTGTGTGGTCTCAACTTTCCATCCTTGGTTGTTAGGGTTCTCTCCACTCTCTTTAGTTGATTTTTCAGGGTGATTTCCTCTGTATTGTAACTGCATTTCTAATTTGGTCCTGGGAGAGTGTCCGTGTATCTTCCACCTACTCTGCCACCATTTTGGAAATCCTCCCTACTTTTACTTTTGATATTTATGTGTTTTTATATCTAAAGTGAGTTTCTTATAGACAACATATAGTTAGGTCTTAGTCTTTGATCCATTCTGACAATCTGTCTTTTAATTGTGTTTAGATCATTGACATTTAAAATAATTATTGATATAGTTTGATTAATACAAAATCTATCATATTTATTACTGTTTTATTTTTGTTGCTATTTTGACTGCCACATTTTTGTGTGGTTTTAATTTTTTGTGATTCTATTTTCTCTTCTTTTAGCATATTATATACCTTTTTTTTTTTACTTTTTAACATTTTTTAGTGGTTGCTCTAGAGTTTGCAATATACATTAAAACTAATCAAATTCTCTTTAAATAGCACTACAATACTGAGTGGCTATACCTTATAACAACAACATAATAAGTACCTTATAATAACAAAGTATTTCTAATTCTTCCCTCTTGTCCCTTGTATCATTGATGTCATTCATTTTATTTATACACTAGTAGCCCTGCACACGAATCCATGCACCAGTAGCTCTCTGTGGGGCCTGGCCGCTCCGTACCCGCGGCCCAGAGGCCCTCTGCAGCCAAGGTGGAACGTCGCGGTGACGAAGCAAGTCAGGCTGCTCACGCTACCCACTCTCAGTGCCACCCCCCTCCCCCCGGGATTGGGGGACTCTGGCGGGGCTGAGAGAACTGGATGCTGCCTTCTTGTGGCTATGGGCACCTCCATCTTTGTGACAGAGTGACAGTTAATTTGCATATTACCCTTTTATTCAATAGGAAAAGCATCTATAAGCATATATATATATATATATATGAGCATATATATATATCCATATATATAAGGATATATATATCTATATATATATATATATATCAACAAGCAAACAACAAATAACAACAATCAAATGCATTGTTGTTATTCTTGAATGAGCTGTAACCTATTCGACTAAATAAGTAAAAAAATAAAAGGTTTAATTTACTTTTATGTTTTCATTCTTGATGCTCTTCCTTTCTTTATATAGAGCTTTCCAACCTATAATATTTTCCTTCTCTCAGAAAACCTTCTTTTACCATTTTTTGCTAGGTAGATCTTCTGGCAGCAAATTCCCTCCATATCTGCTTGCCTGAGACTGTCTTTATTTCCTCTTCACTTTTGTAGGATAATTTTCACAAGGTACTAAGTTCCAGGTTGGTGGGGTGTTGTTTTCTCCTAGCACTCTAAATATTTCACTCCCTTCTCATTGCCTACATGGTTTTTGAAGATTAGTGAGATGTAATTCTTATTTTTCTTTCTTGGTAGGTAAGGTGATTTTTCTCCTTTGGCTTATTTCTTCATCTCCCCCCCCCTACCCCACCCCCATTTTATTTGATTTTTTGCAGTTCAAATATGATATGCCTAAGTATAGTTTCTTTATTGTTTTTTGTTGTTTGTTTTTATTTTTGCATTTATCCTGCTTAGTGTTTTCTGAGCTTCCTGGTTTAGTGTCTGACATTAATTTGGGAAAATCCTCAGGCACTATTGCTTCAAATATTTTTGTGTTTTTTTCCCCTCTCTTTCTTCTCCTGGGTATTTCTATTATAGGTCTATTACACCTTCTTGTGGATGTCCCACAGTTTTTGGATATTTAGTGGTATTTTTGTCTTTTTTTCTCTTTGCTTTTCAGTTTTGGAGGTTTCTATTATATCCTCAAGCTCAGATTTCTTTCCTCAGCTATGTCTGGTCTACTAATGAGGTCATCAAACATAGTCTTCATTTCTGTTACAGTGGGTTTTGTGTTTTTTTTAATGTGGCAGAGAGCACTATCAACTCCAGTCATAGAGGCAAGCTCTACTGGTGTCAATGAAAGTCCTGCTGTTAATGTAGCACACTTCCGACACTACGGTGTTGTTTTTTTATCCGTAGCATTTCTTTTGGAGCCTTCATTAGAATTTCTATCTCTCTGCTTATATTATCCATCTGTTTTTGTATCTTGTCTACTTCTTCCAATAGAGTCATTAACATATATTATCGTTG